CCAGCACGACCCCACCCCAGCACGGCCCCACCCCAGCAAGACCACACCCCAGCACGACCACACTCCAGCACGACCTCACCACAGCACGACCACTCCCCAGCACGATCACGCCCCAGCACGACCACGCCCCAGCACGACCACTCCCCAGCACGACCACCTCCCAGCACGACCACCCCCCCAGCACGACCACCCCCCAGCACGACCACCCCCCCAGCACGACCACACCCCAGCACGACCACACCCCAGCACGACCACACCCAGTCGCACCCCCGTGGAATGTTTCGTGGGGTGTCTCGTGGAATGTTTCGTGGGGTGTCTCGTGGAATGTTTCGTGGGGTGTCTCGTGGAATGTTTCGCGGGGTGTCTCGTGGAACGTTTCGCGAGGTGTCTCGTGGAATGTTTCGCGAGGTGTCTCGTGGGATGTTTCGCGGGGTGTCTCGTGGGATGTTTTGTGAGATGTCGCCCAGTTGGGTATCGTGAAAACGTGACCATGCTGCGCATGTCTATATCCCTTTCCGGGTTCGTGGGTCCATCATGTTTCTCTGCTTTCCTGTTCCCCTCTCCTCGGTGCCTTCGTGTGGTGTGCGTGTCCTCGTGCTCCCGTTGTCCCTCTCCTCACGCTGCTCCGTCCCTGTGTGTGTGTGCGCGAGCTGAGGTGCCTGTATTCTCACTCCTGGGACCTAGTGTCACCGTGCACTGTTCGGGGTGGTTTCGTTCGGCCTCGCGGCCCTAACACTGTACATGGTGTTCCCTGATTAGACAACCCGTCGTGGCGGGAACGCCGACTGTCAAGTTTCGCTAGGGTTTTTTCCCGGAAAGGGCGTGGGCCCATGGTTCTCTTTTAGCTGTTTACCCCCGGGTCTGACGAGAAGAGGGCCGGCGGATTTCTATTGCGATAAATAACGAGTGGGAAGAGGGCCGGCGAATTATATATTGAGGATGTTCCTAGCGAAACGCTTGTTTTTCCCGGAAAGGGCATAGGCCCAGGGTTCTCTTTTAGTAGGTCTTCCCCCCGGCTTTTACTTGAAGGGGGCCGGCCAATTTCTTGTGCGTTAAATTACGAGGTCGAAGGGAGCCGGCGAATTAAAATTTGAGGATGTCCCTAGCGAAACGCTTGTTTTTCAGAATTTGTTGAGGATGTCTCGAGCGAAACGCTGGTTTTGCAGAGTTGGGGATGTCTCGAGCGAAACGCTTGTTTTCAGAATTTGTTGAGGATGTCTCGAGCGAAACGCTGGTTTTGCAGAGCCGACCGCGACGCGGAAAAGCGCCCCGCGCGCAGGAATTCCGATGATGTTTCGCGCGTGCCGCGTCCCGCGCGCAGGAATTTCGAGGATGTCTCGACTAATTCGTTTGTTTTGCTAGGATTTCCTTGAATTTTGGCAGGATGTCTCGAGCGAAATGCTTGTCTTTCATAATTTGTTGAAGACGTTTCGAGCGAACCGCTGGTTTTGCAAAATTGGGGGATGTCTCGAGCGGGAGCCTCGTGGGGGGCCTCGTGGGGGTCCAGAATTCAGAGGATGTCTCAGGCGAAATGCTTGTTTACACGTCCCGCTCGCAAGAATTTCGAGGATGTCTCGCGCGTCCGCGCCCCGCGCGCAGGAATTCTGAGGATGTTGGCAGGATGTCTCGAGCGAAACGCTTGTCCCCAGCACGTTCCGTAGCGCGTCCCCTTGGCACGTCCCGCGGTGCGTGCCTGTGGCACGTCCCCTGGCACGTCGCTTGGCGGGTCCCTTGGGACGTTCCGCGGCGCGTCCTCCTGGCATGTCCCCTTGTCAATTAGCTCTGGGGCAGCTACTATGTGTTCAGGCAGCTCGAGCTTAAGATTCAGATCAGGACTCGGATGCAGAGGAGGACTCGATCCACGAGGCTATAGAGCACAATCGCGGCATGGCACATCGCAAGTCAGCACGGCGCAGCACAGCACAGACTTCGGCACAGTACATCAAGATCGATAGACTCAGCATTGCAACTTGGCACGTTCCTTGGCACGTTCCGTGGGGCGTCCCTTGGCGAGTCCCCTGGCACGTCGCGTGGCGCGTCCCCTGGCACGTCCCGCGGCACGTCCATTGGCACGTTCCGTAGCGCGTCCCTTTGGCACGTCCCGCGGTGCGTGCCCATGGCACGTCCCCTGGCACGTCGCTTGGCGTGTCCTTTGGGACGTTCCGCGGCGCGTCCTCCTGGCATGTCCCCCTGTCGATTAGTTCTGGGGCAGCTACTATGTGTTCAGGCAGCACGAGCTTAAGATCCAGATCAGTTCGGTCAGGACTCGGATGCAAAGAGGACTCGATCCACAACGCTATCTAGAGCACAATCGCGGCATGGCACATCGCAGTTCAGCACGGCGCAGCACAGCACAGATTTCGGCATGGTACATCAAGATCGATACACTCAGCATTGCAACTTGGCACGTTCCTGGGGCGTCCCTTGGCGAGTCCCCCTGGCACGTCGCGTGGCGCGTCCCCTGGCACGTCCCGCGGCACGTCCATTGGCACGTTCCGTAGCGCGTCCCTTGGCACGTCCCGCGGTGCGTGCCCATGGCACGTCCCCTGGCACGTCGCTTGGCGTGTCCTTTGGGACGTTCCGCGGCGCGTCCTCCTGGCATGTCCCCCTGTCGATTAGTTCTGGGGCAGCTACTATGTGTTCAGGCAGCTCGAGCTTAAGATCCAGATCAGTTCGGTCAGGACTCGGATGCAAAGAGGACTCGATCCACAACGCTATCTAGAGCACAATCGCGGCATGGCACATCGCAGTTCAGCACGGCGCAGCACAGCACAGATTTCGGCATGGTACATCAAGATCGATACACTCAGCATTGCAACTTGGCACGTTTCCTGGGGCGTCCCTTGGCGAGTCCCCCTGGCACGTCGCGTGGCGCGCCCCCTGGCACGTCCCGCGGCACGTCCATTGGCACGTTCCGTAGCGCGTCCGCTTGGCACGTCCCGCGGTGCGTGCCCATGGCACGTCCCCTGGCACGTCGCTTGGCGCGTCCCTTGGGACGTTCCGCGGCGCGTCCTCCTGGCATGTCCCCTCTGTCGATTGGTTCTGGGGCAGCTACCATCTGCTCAGTCAGCTCGAGCTTAAGATCCAGATCAATGCGGTCAGGACTCGGATGTTAAGGAAGACTCGATCCACGACGCTATGTAGAGCACAATCGCGGTATGGAACATCGCAGTTCAGCACGGTGCAGCACAGCACAGCCCTTGGCACAGTACATTAAGATCGATACATTCTGCATTGCATTTGCCCGTCGCCCAATCAAGTGTCGTTGAACAGTTGCCGTGCCTTACATTTCTATATTCCTTTCCGGGTTCGTGGGTCGATCATGTTCAGAATTTGTTGAGGATGTTTCGAGCGAAATGCTTGTTTTGTGTTATAGATTGTCCTCTCCTGGGGACCAGAATTTAGAAGATCTCTCAAGTGAAATGCTTGGTTTCACGTGCCCAGGTCTTGAGGATGTCTCGAGCGAGACGCTTGGTTTCACGCCTCCAGGTTGCCTAGGCAGAGGTCAAGCGTCAGGATTTGTTGAGGATGTCTCGAGCGAGACGCTTGGTTTCACGCGTCCTCGTCGCCCAGGCGGATGTCTAGAATGAGGAGGTGGTGAGGAAATCTCGATCGAGATGCTTGTTTGTACGTGTCCAGGTTGCCCAGGCGGATGCCTAGCATGAAGATGAATTGAGAATGTCTCGAGAGATACGCTTGTTGTCACGTGTCCAGGTTGCCCAGGCGGATGTCTAACATGAAGATGTGTTGAGGATGTCTCGAGCGAGACGTTTGCTTTCACGTGTACAGGTCGCCAAGGCGGATGTCTAGAATGAGGAGGTGTTGAAAACGTCTCGAGCGAAACGCTTGTTTTCACGTGCCCAGGTCACCCAGGCGGACGTCTCACATGAAGATGTGTTGAGGATGTCTCGAGCGAACTACTTGTTTTCACGTGTCCAGTTCGCCCAGGCGGATGTCTAGCATGAGAATGTGTTGAGGATGTGTTGAGCGAAACGTTTGTTTTCACGTGTCCAGGTCGCTCAGGCGGATGTCTAGAATGAGGATTTTGACAGGATGTCTCGAGCGAAACGCTTGTCCCCAGCACGTTCCGTAGCGCGTCCCCTTGGCATGTCCTACGGTGCGACCCCATGGCACGTCCCCTGGCACGTCGCCTGGCGCGTCCCTTGGGACGTTTCGCGGCGCGTCCTCCTGGCATGTCCCCCTGTCAATTAGCTCTGGGGCAGCTACTATGTGTTCAGGCAGCTCGAGCTTACGATCCAGATCAGTTCGGTCAGGACTCGGATTCAAAGGAAGACTCGATCCACGACGCTATAGAGCACAACTGCGGCATGGCACATCGCAATTCAGCACGGTGCAGCACAGCACAGCCCTCGGCACGGTACATCAAGATCGATACAATCAGCATTGCATTTGCCCGTCACCCAATCAGGTGTCTTTGAAAACGTTGCCATGCGTTACATTTCTATATTCCTTTCCGGGTTCGTGGGTCGATCATGTTTTCTCCATTGGTGCGCACAGCGGTCTGCTTGTCATTAAACAACATATCCGGCCCTGACCAGAAGCCGAGTACCATCACCACATCATCATCCTTTTCCTCCTGCTCACCAGTCACGTCCTCCTCCTCCTCCTCCTCCTCCTCCTCCTTCCTATGTGCGCAGCTCCCTTTTGCGCACAACGCGATGTTGTTTCTGGGCGAGTTTCAGGGTCGCTGAGATACGTGTCCGTGGATAGAGACAACATCAGCGCAGTTGGTTGGTATGGGTGGGAGGGGTATGTAAGATATGGCGAGAACGCGCTTAGCTTGGCCCTATCCTCTGCCCTCCCTTTCTCGCCCTCCCTCGCCTTTCTTCCTTATCCTCCCCCACTTCTTTTCTCCTCCTCCATCCCCTCTCGCTTCTCTCGCTCCCTTTCCCTTGGCTTTCCTTCCTTATCCCCTCAACCTCCCTCTCGCCACCCCCCTCCTCCCAAATCTCCCTTCTTCCCCCCCCCGTGCAACCGAGATGCCCGCGCCCGCCGACGCGGCGACGGACGAGCTGGACCGGGGTCCGGGTTGCCCCTGCTGTTGTTCCCTGGTCTATGCTGCTGCTGGTCCTCCTCCCCCCTGCTTCCTCATTTTACGCTGCTGCTTCCTTCCTCCTCTTCATTCTTCCCCCCCTACTTCAGTATCCTCCTTCCTCTCCTCTTTTGGTTCGTTGCCTCCCTCCTCCCTCTCCCCCTCCCCTGCTTCCTCCCATCTCTTCGTTCTTCGCCCCTCGTGCGCACATGTCACGTCGGTGTTCGGCGAACGTCGGCTTGGCGCCCTCTCCTGCCGTTGTGACCTGACGTCCTCCTGCTTCCTCCCCCTGCGCTTTTTCCCGGAAAGGGCTCGAGCCCAGGGTTCTCTTTTAGATGGTTTACCCCCAGTTTTGACGGGAGGTGGGCCGGCGAAATTATTCTGCGATAAATTACGTGCGGGAGGTGGGCCGGCGAATTAAGATTTGAGGATGTCCCTAGCGAAACGCTTGTTTTTCAGAATTTGTTGAGGATGTCTCGAGCGAAACGCTGGTTTTGCAGAGTTGGGGATGTCTCGAGCGAAACGCTTGTTTTCAGAATTTGTTGAGGATGTCTCGAGCGAAACGCTGGTTTTGCAGAGCCGACCGCGACGCGGAAAAGCGCCCCGCGCGCAGGAATTCCGATGATGTTTCGCGCGTGCCGCGTCCCGCGCGCAGGAATTTCGAGGATGTCTCGACTAATTCGTTTGTTTTGCTAGGATTTCATTGAATTTTGGCAGGATGTCTCGAGCGAAATGCTTGTCTTTCATAATTTGTTGAAGACGTTTCGAGCGAACCGCTGGTTTTGCCAAATTGGGGGATGTCTCGAGCGGGAGCCTCGTGGGGGGCCTCGTGGGGGTCCAGAATTCAGAGGATGTCTCAGGCGAAATGCTTGTTTATACGTCCCGCTCGCAAGAATTTCGCGGATGTCTCGCGCGTCCGCGCCCCCGCGCAGGAATTCTGAGGATGTTGGCAGGATGTCTCGAGCGAAACGCTTGTCCCCAGCACGTTCCGTAGCGCGTCCCCTTGGCACGTCCCGCGGTGCGTGCCCGTGGCACGTCCCCTGGCACGTCGCTTGGCGCGTCCCTTGGGACGTTCCGCGGCGCGTCCTCCTGGCATGTCCCCCTGTCAATTAGCTCTGGGGCAGCTACTATGTGTTCAGGCAGCTCGAGCTTAAGATTCAGATCAGGACTCGGATGCAAAGGAGGACTCGATCCACGAGGCTATAGAGCACAATCGCGGCATGGCACATCGCAAGTCAGCACGGCGCAGCACAGCACAGACTTCGGCACAGTACATCAAGATCGATAGACTCAGCATTGCAACTTGGCACGTTCCTTCCGTGGGGCGTCCTTGGCGAGTCCCCCTGGCACGTCGCGTGGCGCGTCCCCTGGCACGTCCCGCGGCACGTCCATTGGGCACGTTCCGTAGCGCGTCCCCTTGGCACGTCCCGCGGTGCGTGCCCATGGCACGTCCCCTGGCACGTCGCTTGGCGTGTTCCGCACACGTTCCCCGGCGGCGCGTCCTCCTGGCATGTCCCCCTGTCGATTAGTTCTGGGGCAGCTACTATGTGTTCAGGCAGCTCGAGCTTAAGATCCAGATCAGTTCGGTCAGGACTCGGATGCAAAGAGGACTCGATCCACAACGCTATCTAGAGCACAATCGCGGCATGGCACATCGCAGTTCAGCACGGCGCAGCACAGCACAGATTTCGGCATGGTACATCAAGATCGATACACTCAGCATTGCAATTTGGCACGTTCCGTGGGGCGTCCCTTGGCGAGTCCCCCTGGCACGTCGCGTGGCGCGTCCCCTGGCACGTCCCGCGGCACGTCCATTGGCACGTTCCGTAGCGCGTCTCCTTGGCACGTCCCGCGGTGCGTGCCCCTGGCACGTCCCCTGGCACGTCGCTTGGCGTGTCCTTTGGGATGTTCCGCGGCGCGTCCTCCTGGCATGTCCCCCTGTCGATTAGTTCTGGGGCAGCTACTATGTGTTCAGGCAGCTCGAGCTTAAGATCCAGATCAGTTCGGTCAGGACTCGGATGCAAAGGAGGACTCGATCCACCTCGTCCCCGGCGTCCCTTGGCGAGTCCCCCTGGCACGTCGCGTGGCGCGTCCCCTGGCACGTCCCGTGGCACATCCATTGGCACGTTCCGTAGCGCGTCCCCTTGGCACGTCCCGCGGTGCGTCCCCATGGCACGTCCCCTGGCACGTCGCCTGGCGCATCCCTTGGGACGTTTCGCGGCGCGTCCTCCTGGCATGTTCCCCTGTCATTAGCTCTGGGGCAGCTACTATGTGTTCAGGCAGCTCGAGCTTAAGATCCAGATCAGTTCGGTCAGGACTCGGATGCAAAGGAGGATTCGATCCACGACGCTATAGAGCACAATCGCGGCATGGCACAGTCGCAATTCAGCACGGTGCAGCACAGCACAGCCCTCGGCAGGGTACATCAAGATCGATACACTCAGCATTGCCCCAGTCAGGTGTCTTTGAAAGCGCTGCCATGTGTTACGGTTCTATATTCCTTTCCGGGTTCGTGGGTCGATCATGTTAGCTGTTTGCCCCCGGATCTGACGGCTGTGGGGCCGGCGAATTTCTTTTTCGATGAATAACGAGGTCGCGTAGGGCCGGCGAATAAAATTTGAGGATGCCCCTAGCGAAACGTTTTTCCCGGAAAGGGCTCGAGCCCAGGGTTCTCTTTTAGATGGTTTACCCCCAGTTTTGACGGGAGGTGGGCCGGCGAAATTATTCTGCGATAAATTACGTGCGGGAGGTGGGCCGGCGAATTAAGATTTGAGGATGTCCCTAGCGAAACGCTTGTTTTTCAGAATTTGTTGAGGATGTCTCGAGCGAAACGCTGGTTTTGCAGAGTTGGGGATGTCTCGAGCGAAACGCTTGTTTTCAGAATTTGTTGAGGATGTCTCGAGCGAAACGCTGGTTTTGCAGAGCCGACCGCGACGCGGAAAAGCGCCCCGCGCGCAGGAATTCCGATGATGTTTCGCGCGTGCCGCGTCCCGCGCGCAGGAATTTCGAGGATGTCTCGACTAATTCGTTTGTTTTGCTAGGATTTCCTTGAATTTTGGCAGGATGTCTCGAGCGAAATGCTTCTCTTTCATAATTTGTTGAAGACGTTTCGAGCGAACCGCTGGTTTTGCCAAATTGGGGGATGTCTCGAGCGGGGGCCTCGTGGGGGGCCTCGTGGGGGTCCAGAATTCAGAGGATGTCTCAGGCAAAATGCTTGTTTACACGTCCCGCTCGCAAGAATTTCGAGGATGTCTCGCGCGTCCGCGCCCCGCGCGCAGGAATTCTGAGGATGTTGGCAGGATGTCTCGAGCGAAACGCTTGTCCCCAGCACGTTCCGTAGCGCGTCCCCTTGGCACGTCCAGCGGTGCGTGCCCGTGGTACGTCCCCTGGCACGTCGCTTGGCGTGTCCCTTGGGACGTTCCGCGGCGCGTCCTCCTGGCATGTCCCCTTGTCAATTGTTCACGCTTCGCGAATCCCCACCAGCCCATCCTAAAACAGCCATTTTAGCAAAGAGTACCGACTGTCGGGATTTGTTGGTCATCTTTTCAGCAATGATGCCCAGAGGAGTTGCTTTGATTCGATCAGAGAAGTGTGGGAGCATACAGAGAAACGAAGGACAGGGGATGCCGCCATATCCCAAGAGGGGAGGATGGAGGAGGAATCGGAGGAGGAGGTGGGGCAGGGGAGGAGGGAGGAGGAAGAGGGGGAGGCGGACGAGGAGGGGAGGACGAGCAGAAGGACCAGAGGCCTCTTGGATGCATCGCGGAGTCTCTTGGGATGTCTTTTGGGAGCCTCTTGGAGGCCTTTTGGGGCGTCTTGGGGGCCTCTTGGCGGCCCCAGGGGCTTCTAGGAGCGTCTTGGGTGCCTTGGGGGAGCCTCTTCGGGGGGAGCCTCTTGGAGGCCGTTTGGGGCGTCTTGGGGGCCTCTTGGCGGCCCCAAGGGCTTCCAGGAGCGTCTTGGGTGCCTCGGGGGAGCCTCTTGGGGCCTCTTGGGGGCCTCTTGGGGGCATCTTGGGGGCCTCTTGGAGGCCTCTTGGGGCCTCTTGGGGCTCTTTGGGAGGGGTCTGGGAGGTATCTTTGGGCCATCTTTCGGGCGATCGATCACAGATGGGGCGAGCATTTTTCCCGGAAAGGGCGCGGGCCCAGGGTTCTCTTTTAGTAGGTTAACCCCCCGGCCCCCCTGCGACTTGGGCCGGCGAAATTATTCTGCGATAAATAACGAGGTCGCGTAGGGCCGGCGAATTATTTTTTGAGGCTGTCTCGAGCGAAACGCTTGTTTTTCAGAATTTGTTGAGGATGTCTCAAGCAAAACGCTTGTTTTGTGTTATAGAGTGTCCTCTCCTGGGGACCTGAATTCTGAGGATTTCTCAAGTGGATTGCTTGTTTTCACGTGCCCAGGTCTTGAGGATGTCTCGAGCGAGACGCCAGGTTTCACGCCTCCAGGTGGCCCAGGCAGATGTCTAGCATGAGGATTTGTTGAGGATGTCTCGAACCAGAGGCTTGTTTTCACGTGTCCAGGTCGCCCAGGCGGATGTCTAGCATGAGCATTTGTTGAGGATGTCTCGAGCGAGACGCTTGTTTGCACGTGTCCAGGTTGCCCAGGCGGATGTCTAGCATGAGGATGTGCTGACAACGTCTTGAGCGAAACGCGTGTTTTCACGTGTCCAGGTCGCCCAGGCACAGCACAGCCCTCGGCACGGTACATCAATATCGATACCCTGAGCATTGCAGCCTGGCATGTTGCCTGGCACGTTCCGCGGAGCGTCCCGTGGCGAGTCCACCTGGCACGCCGCGCGGTGCACGTCCATTGGCACGTTCCGTAGCGCGTCCCCTTGGCACGTGTCGCGGTGCGTGCCCATGGCACGTCCCCTGGCATGTCGCCTGGCGCGTCCCTTGGGACGTTCCGCGGCGCGTCCTCTTGGCATGTTCCCTCTGTCGATTAGTTCTGGGGCAGCTACCATCTGCTCAGGCAGCTCGAGCTTACGATCCAGATCAGTTCGGTGAGGACTCGGATGCCAGGGAGGACTCGATCCACAACGCTATCTAGAGCACAATCGCGGCATGGCACATCGCAGTTCAGCACGGCCCAGCACAGCACAGCCGTCGGCACGGTACATCAATATCGATACCCTGAGCATTGCAGCCTGGCATGTTGCACCTTGGCACGTTCCTTGGCGCGTTCCTTGGCGAGTCCACCTGGCACGTCGCGCGGAGCGTCCCCTGGCACGTCCCTCGGCACGTCCACTGGCACGTTCCGTAGCGCGTCCCCTTGGCACGTCCCGCGGTGCGTGCCCATGGCACGTCCCTTGGCACGTCGCCTGGCGCGTCCCTTGGGACGTTCCTCGGCGCGTCCTCCTGGCATGTTCCCTCTGTCGATTAGTTCTGGGGCAGCTACCATCTGCTCAGGCAGCTCGAGCTTACGCTCCAGATCAGTTTGGTGAGGACTCCGATGCCAGGGAGGACTCGATCCCCAACGCTACATAGAGCACAATCGCGGCATGGCACATCGCAGTTCAGCACGGCGTAGCACAGCACAGCCCTCGGCACAGTACATCATCATCGATACATTCAGCATTGCATGTGCCCGTCGCCCAATCAGGTGTCTTTGAAATGTTGCAATGCCTTACATTTCTAGATTCCTTTCCGGGTTCGTGGGTCGATCATGTTCTCCCTCCCCCCGTCGTGCAATTCCGAGTACGAGCAAGCCTGAGCATGAGTGAGTGAGCCCAGCAGGGTGGCAGATGTTTCATGTTTCATGATATTGCATAGCTTCAGTTTTGTGCATTGGAGTTGTGTTTTCTATATGTGTTTTGCCTGCTACCGTCTCGGCTCTAGCGCCCCCTCGCTTGTGCTCAGAGGCACGGGAGTTTAGAAGCCCTGTGAGCAGGGCTCTTGAGCTTTAGGAGTTCAGAAAAGTACACAGATCAATACCACTGCGCAGCTTCCGCCGACTACTTGCATGGTAGCAGGAGCACGTGGTTGACACGGAGTTCTAATACGATGATCGAGGATCATCGAGGCAAGGTGCCAAGCTGGGATGGGGATCCAAAGACTTGGCGGACGTACAGGCGGAAGGCCCTCCAGTACCAGGAGGGCACCAAGAGGGAGGACAGGTACTTGTGCGGCCCGCGGCTGGAGGCGAAGCTCACTAGCCGGGCCGAGATTGCGGTCGAGCGCTGCAAGGCTGGTTGGCTCTCCAGGCCCGACGGCGTGGAACGGCTCCTGGCGTGGCTGGAACGCAGGTGCTCTAGACAGGCTGTGCCCGACGTCGGACAGGAGCTCGAGACATTCTTGATCAAGACGAAGCGCCGCAAGCTAGAGCCGATGCAGCAGTGGACGGACCGCTTCGAGACCGGGTACCAGTACCTCAGGCGCGCGTTGGCACGCGCGCTTGGACACACAGTTCCAGTTCAGGTCGCGCCACCGTGGAAGAGGTCTGGGCGACCTTACCGGTGGATCGAGGTCGAACGTGACTGGCCATTCGAGGGTAGCGAATGGACGTGGGAGTACACGGACGGCCTGCCAGACGACGAGAAAGAGGAGTCGCACCACTGGAGCGCCGCTGACCAAGACGCGGATGCAGAGGAGGAGCTCGGGGACATGCCGGAGGTGTTCCCTAGCCTGGTCCTGGGCTGGCTGATGCTCGTGCGGTCGGGGCTCGACTCGCGCGAGAGGGCTGCCATCATGACGGCGACGGGCGGCTCGCTGGAAGTCAACATCATCCGGGAGAAGCTGATCTCGAGCTGGGAGGATGACGACCTGGCGGAGCGTGACGGGCACTCGAGGTTCCCGAAGGCGTACACAGCCCAGCTGGGAGAAGATGATCGTACGTGGCTTGACGGGGACGATGGACCAGACGCGAGCAGCTTCGCAGCCGACGTGGGGAACCACGAGTGGCAGGAGGAAGACCCAGGCCAGGAGGAAGTGAACGATGACGAGATCGAGACGTACTTGGCAGCTCAGCAGGATGAGGCGGAGGCGCTTGCGGCGCTTCACACCGCCCAGCGCACCCTCCGCCAGGCCCGGGAGGCCCAGGCCGACAGCCGGCTGAGCAGGGGCTTCTACCGGGGAGGACGGCCAACACCGAAGGGATCAGGCAAGGGCTTCTCGGCGGGATTTCGCCGACCACTTCCTCCCCAGGTGGGAGGTAGAGGCCAGATCTTGCCGACGAACAAGGGCCAGAAGAAGTGCGCGAAATGTGGGGGAGCTCACTGGGTTCAGGACTGCCAGGACCGTCATGACCCCCGGCTCCGGCCAGGAGCTGCTGGCACGCCAGAGGCGAGCGCGAAGGTAGCCGAGTGCAGGAGGGAGCTGAAGGTCAACCTCGTGACCTCGCTGGTCGCCGAGCAGGAGCCTCAGGACATGGAGTGCGAGGCGATGTTCGCAGACCAGGCCATCCGCGAGGGCAAGGGCATCGTCGACCTAGGATGCACGGACGCCATGGGTGGCGAGCGTGCGCTGGACATCGTGGCCCGCAAGAACATGGAGAAGTACGGTGACACCAGGCTGCTGGAGGTGAACCGGGACTACAGGCCGGTCTATAGCTTCGGGAATGGCGAGAAGGAACGCGCCTACGGACAGGTGAAGTTCGGCATCACGGGCGCGGGCATAGAAGGCGATATCGCCATCAACGGTTTCTCGAAGGATGTCCCGATCTTGGTGTCCAAGAAGGTTCTGAAGAAGCTGGGAGCTGTCGTGGACTGCGAGACTGGGGTGACCGTGTTCGTGAAGCTCGCGCCGGACATTCCCGTTCAACTGGAGGAATCACCTGATGGAGGACACTACTACATCAGCCTGGTCGACGACTTGCTGGGGCAGCGCGTCAGAGACCAGAACCAGTTGCGGAACTTCAGGACCATCAGCGAGAACATCAGTGAGTGGGACAGTAGGCCAGTGGCCGCAGTGTGTCAGGGGCCAGACAGCAGCTCGGACACTCGGGCTGAGCAGTCGGAGCGCTACATGTATCCATCTCAATCGGGCCACAGCGTTGCCCTCGATGAGTCCCCAGTCGGATCAGCAGGTGCGTGCAGAGGTCAGCCCTGTGACCAGGGGTGCCCCACAGCTGGTTGCGGGATTCATCATGACGTTCAGTTACAGCCTCAGCTGGGCCCCACATCAGGTCCCAGAGCCACCGTTCCTCACAAAGGTCAGGCGCCGTCTCAGGTTAGCCACGCGATGGATCTCGGAGCTCACCCAGCATCACAGGCGAACCAGAGGGCCCAGATGCATCTCTATAGCCGTTCGGGCTCGAGCCAGGCAAGTTCACTCGAGTCGACGGCGACCGACGGCATCCAGCCCCCAGCAGCTCCATATCCAACAGATCTTCCATATCTCAGGCCGAAGGCGGTCGATGTCAACAAAGGGATGCGCTGGGGTAACCTCATCCGCGGGGCGGTCCAGCTCACCTGCTCCGGGATCACATGCTCGTGCAATGCGGCCATTCCAGATGCCAACATCTCGCAGTGTGGTGCAGGGCCTCTATTAGGCGGAGGTGCTCCACCTACCCCAGGAGCTTGGCCCGACGCGCAGTCCGGCCTGGGGCGTGAACGAGCTGAAACAGATCCTCAAGGGGCACATGTTTCCGGAGGACGAAGCACCAGCGCAGGTGGCCATGCAGGGCCCCAGCTCGAGGAAGAAGCCCCAGCTGTTGGTGAAGGCCGAGGAGGTAGGGGCCCACGTGACACACGACATGACGAATCCGTCACTCAGGCCCTCAATCCGCAAGGCCATCCTCATGAAGCACGCACTGGGCCCGAGCGACCACATGGGCTTCGGGAAGCACGGAGCCATGACCTAACCGCAGGCTCAGAACCAGTACCAGTCCTACACGTCCTGGTTCCCGAAGGAGTTGGACAAGGGGAGCAGCTGGGAGCTGGCCCGGTTTGCCTCATGGCTCAACGAGCAAGGGAACATCGACGAGAAGGCGGAGATGACCAGGGATCCGAAGGAGGTCCCGAAGGAGCCGGCCCAGGCTCGAGGGGGCGCGAGGTCATCCCGCAGGAGGACATCGGGCGCGATCGTGGAGGACGAGATCGTGAAGCAGGACAGGCTCGAGGCTGCGATCAAGGTGCAGAAGAAGGAGAAGGAGTCCAACCGTCTGGCCCAGCTCAACCAGAAGATCGGCCAGCTGGAGGGCCAAGCGAGCTCAGCCGGCCCCAACGCCGGGAGCTCCGTGCCAATGGGTTCCAGTCTGAATGGTCTGGCAGAGGCTTGAACTGCACCAAGGAGCTGGATCCCAGGAAGCAGCGCTGGCTCGCCAAGTGCATCAAGGAGAACGGCCACTTGGAGGACTACGAGGCGATGATGGCCCACGGCGGCATCAAGCTGATGGAGGTCGCATGTAGCCCCACGTCCATCCTGAGCGCGAAGATGATGGAGAAGTTCGGAGAGGGTGCTGTATGTCGCATCAGTGCCTGGAATGGTTTCAAGCTGGGGCCCAATGGAGGCAACAAGAGGGCTCGAGAGGCACGTGATGAAGCCGAACCAGACCACCTGTGGATTAGTACGAGATGCGGCCCGCTATCGACCCTTACCCTCGGCTTCAACGGTTCCAACCCCATCAGGGCCGAGGCCACCAGGAAGCGCAGACTGCAAGCCATCAAGGAGTACAAGGGCGCGGTGCAGCTGGTGTACGACCAAGTGGCTCAAGGTAAGCATGTACACTGGGAATGGCCCATCAAGTGCGAGGGCTGGGGCCACACGATGATCAGGAAGATGGTGGAGGACTGTTCAATGACTGTGGTGAAGGTGGCAGGCTGCCCAGCTCGGTGTGAAGGACAAGAAGGGCCTGCCGCTGCTGAAGGAATGGCTGATTGCTGCGACGTCTCCGAAAATGGCCGCTAGGATGTCCGCGGAGTGCTCAGGGGACCACCGACATGGAGAGCTTACAGGAGGCGGCCTCACAGCGGCCACCAGCTATTACCCGGACGAGTTTGCAAGGCGAGCGGTTCGGGCGATGATCGAGGAGGCCGCGCCAGACTACCACGAGTTCCTGAGATGCTTGGCCGAGCCCGAGGAGGTCCTCGACCAGGCGATGGCAGCCGACCAGGAGGAGATGAAGATGAACACAGACGTGAACTCGAAGGAGTACCAGCAGATCATGAAGTGGCTCACCTCGATCCACCGTGGCTCAGGCCACAGCTCGAAGGCCTCCATGCTGAACGCGCTGCGGAGGAAGGGCGCCAGCCCACAGGTGCTACAAGTGGCCCAGGACTTCCTCTGCGACGCATGCGAGGAGGCGAACAAGTTCAAGCCTACGCATCCGCCCGTCAGCTTAGAGGCCATCCCGCCAAAGTGGAAGCACATCCAGGCGGACCAGTTCGAGTGGGAGCACCCGCAGACGAAAGTCAAGTCCAAGATTTCCCTGATCATAGACGAGAACTGCAGGGTGCGAGTTAGCAAGCTGCTGCACCACATGGTTGGCGAGGACCGGCACAGGAACCCAGTATGGGCGGACCTCAAGTCGTTCTACGAGGAGCGCTGGTTGCCATACTTCGAGGGTGAAGGTAGACCCCGAGGGATCCTGGATGTCCAAGCAAGCGGCGGAGTACTTCGATTCCGACTCCATCGGGTATGAACCCATACCTGGCCAGGCTCATTGGCACATCTCCCTCGCCGAGGAAGCCATCCAGGCCACCAAGGGGACCATGGATAAGCTGGTGGCGGAGAACCCCGAGATGACAACGGAGGAGGCCTTGGCAAGGGCGACCGCAGCTGGAAACTCACGGGAAGACGTTCGAGGACACTCACCCCTTCAACGCGCCCTAGGACGGGCACCAGACCTGGACGGACACTTCTTTGAGAGCGACTTCGACGAGCTGCCCTACGTGGAGGCCCAGAGGGTCGACAAGGAGTTCGGGGAGAACTACACCAGGATGTACGCGGCAGAGCAAGAGTACCTGAGGCAGGTCTACATGCGGCGCCTCAGCAGAGCGGAGAACGCGAAGAATCAGGCGGTGAAGTCCGCGGTGCCAGGCATGTGGGTGCGCTACTTCAGGAAGGAGAAGGGCGAAGCCAAGGGCCGCTTCAAGGGGCTCGCGAGGGTCCTGGCCACAGAGACAGCGCGGCCAGTAGACGGCGACCTTGGCGAAGGACGTGTCCTCCATCCTGGGCGTGCAGGATCCGTGGTGTGGCTTGTAAGAGCCGGGCGTATCATCAAGGTAGACCTCTGCCAGGTCCGAGCGGCTTCCTCACGGGAGATCGCATACGCCGAGCTGATGGGAGGCAAGGACACGCCCTGGACGGTCCACACCTTCATGAATCAGGCGCTGAAACACGAGTACCTGGACTTCACGGGCCACGACCCCACAGAGAATGACATGGAGATCTCAACCTGGGAAGGACTGCCAGAACCAGCCCCTCCACTGAAGAAGGCCCGCACAGGGCAGGCTGCGGGAGATGGCCAGACCTCAGGGAGCCGTCCAACACCACCGGTGCGGAGGCGAATTATCAAGAAAGGACACCATCCAGGCGGGGTGGCCGACCAAGCTCGAGCGTCTCGAGCCGCCCTGGCGGAGGAGCAGATGAAGGAGAACATGGCCCTCATGGCGAAGTCCACTCCAGATGCCCGGGCATTTTGGGCTCGTCAAGGTACGTCGCTGGAGGTCTCCGTTGAGGTTCCATTGGAGGGCAAGCCGCTCAAGCAGGCCACGAGGCATATGAGCACCTATATGGCGAGCCAGCTGCGGAAAGGCAAGCGCGAGATTTCGGAGAGGACGTTGACCCCCGACGAGATGGCGAAGTTCAGCCAAGCGAAGGCCACGGAGGTGAAGAACTACATTGTGTCTTCGGTGCTGGAGACACTCCCACCAGGAGTGACCCCGCCTCCTGAGGACATCATGCGCATGAGGTGGATTCTCGAGTGGAAAATGAACGAGAACACGGGCGAGAAGAAGCCGAAGGCGAGGATCGTTGTCCTGGGTTACATGGACCCCGAGTACGAGCACCGTCCGACTACCGCCCCAACCATGACGAGGACTTCGAGACACCTGGTGCTGCAGGCGATGGCGTGGCTGGGCTTCAAAGGCTACAAGGCGGACGTGACGGGAGCTTTCACGCAGAACCGAGAGATCCAGCATGACCTATTCGTGTTGCCCGTGAAGGAGTTAGCAGCAGCCCTGGGGATGCCCGAGGGTGTTACCATGCGGCTCAGGAAGGCGGTCTACGGGCTTGTGGAGGCGGCGATCGAGTGGTTCATGACCGTGAGTGAGGCGCTGGAGGAGTTCGGTTGGACCCAGATGAAGATGGACCCCTGCGTGTGGGTACTCTACGGTGACGCGCACGGCAAGGATAACAACTTCACCAAGGAGGCGCTGAAGGATTTCACGGACCCAGGAGTGCTGGAGGACCTGATCGCGGCGAAGGGAGACCTGGACATCATAGCCATTGCGGGGTCGCACGTAGACGACTTCCTGCTCGGGGGCAACGACGCGGACCCCAGGTGGATCACCGCGCGGGAGCAGATTGAGAAGCGTTTCAAGTGGAAGGCCTGGGAGTCGGAGGAGTTCATGCAGACGGGGGTGAGGATCAAGCAGCAGCCCGACAGGAGCTTCCGCATGGATCAGAGCGAGTACGTGAAAACCATCGAGAAGGCGTACCTCGCCCCGGAGCGCAAGAAGGCCAAGGACATGCCGACCACTGACAAGGAGAAGGGCCAGCTGAGAGCTATCCTGGGAGCCATCGGGTGGAGGTCCGAGCAGTCAGGTCCCATGCACTCGGCCGACACCAGCCTGTTGCTCAGCACGATACCCTTTTCCACTGTGCAGACCATCAACGAGACCAACCGACTCGTCGATCGTGTTCGTGAATGTGCTGACCTACCCGTGGTGATCCACAGCCACTCTCAGTCACAGGTGTTGGTGCCAGTGGAGTGGTCTGACTCTTCGGAGGCCAACCGGCCCGACGGGAAGTCCACGAAGGGCCTGGTGGCAGGGCTGGCACCTCTGAAGATCCTCAAGGGCGACGAGGCAGACGTGAGCCTCATATCCTGGAAGTCAGGCAAGATCGATCGTGGTTGCCGCAGCTCCGTGGCATGCGAGACACGCTCAGCTGTGGACGCGGAGGACGAGCTGTACGGTATCAAGTTACAGTGGCGGGAGATCCTGGGCAACAACATCGACTGGAGGAGTCCCGAGGGAGTTCTGCGCAGACTGCCAGGAGCGGTGGTTGTGGACTCTAAAGGGCTGTACGACAAGCTGCAGGCTACGGTCTACACCTTCCGGGGCAAGGAGAAACGGACTGACGTGGAGGCAATGACGCTGAAGGAAGGGACACAGGCGGCGAACAACTGGATGCTCTGGGTACATGGAGATGCTCAGCTCGCCAACTCGCTGACGAAGGGACACGAGCCGGGCCAGCTGCGGATGTACTTCAACAACGGGCACCGCTGGAAGCTAGTTTACGACGAGAAGTACCAGAGTGCGCGTAAAAGGAAGGCAGCTGGGATCCAGCCGTTCGAACACGTGGGAGTTGGGACTCTGAAGACTCCATGTGGTGCAACAGTTCATGTCAATGCAGCTGCTGGCCCCGACTCCCCGCCATACGAGGCCATGACTGAGTGCAGTTCGGACGAGGAGCTGGACTCAAGGATGCTCAGCTTGGAGGACCCTTATCTGTGCAATTCCGAGTACGAGCAAGCCTGAGCATGAGTGAGTGAGCCCAGCAGGGTGGCAGATGTTTCATGTTTCATGATATTGCATAGCTTCAGTTTTGTGCATTGGAGTTGTGTTTTCTATATGTGTTTTGCCTGCTACCGTCTCGGCTCTAGCGCCCCCTCGCTTGTGCTCAGAGGCACGGGAGTTTAGAAGCCCTGTGAGCAGGGCTCTTGAGCTTTAGGAGTTCAGAAAAGTACACAGATCAATACCACTGCGCAGCTTCCGCCGACTACTTGCACGTCGGGGCCACGATCCTCGTGAGGGGTGTCGAGTTTTAGCCCTCCCTGGAGTCGAAAAAGACTCCTCCAACGACCCGCGGAACGCCCTCTCCAGGCCCAGGGGGAGAGGGGAAGAAGGGGGTTGAGAACAGAGCTGGCTCTCTAAACCACTCACGCCCAAAGGGCTGGTGGGATTAGCTCTGGGGCAGCTACTATGTGTTCAGGCAGCTCGAGCTTAAGATTCAGATCAGGACTCGGATGCAGAGGAGGACTCGATCCACGAGGCTATAGAGCACAATCGCGGCATGGCACATTGTAAGTCAGCACGGCGCAGCACAGCACAGACTTCGGCACAGTACATCAAGATCGATAGACTCAGCATTGCAACTTGGCACGTTCCTTGGCACGTTCCGTGGGGCGTCCCTTGGCGAGTCCCCCTGGCACGTCGCGTGGCGCGTCCCCTGGCACGTCCCGCGGCACGTCCATTGGCACGTTCCGTAGCGCGTCTCCTTGGCACGTCCCGCGGTGCGTGCCCATGGCACGTCCCCTGGCACGTCGCTTGGCGTGTCCTTTGGGACGTTTCGCGGCGCGTCCTCCTGGCATGCCCCCCTGTCGATTAGTTCTGGGGCAGCTACTATGTGTTCAGGCAGCTCGAGCTTAAGATCCATATCAGTTCGGTCAGGACTCGGATGCAAAGAGGACTCGATCCACAACGCTATCTAGAGCACAATCGCGGCATGGCACATCGCAGTTCAGCACGGCGCAGCACAGCACAGATCTCGGCATGGTACATCAAGATCGATGCATTCAGCATTGCAACTTGGCACGTTCCGTGGGGCGTCCCTTGGCGAGCCCCCCTGGCACGTCGCGTGGCGCGTCCCCTGGCACGTCCCGCGGCACGTCCATTGGCACGTTCCGTAGCGCGTCTCCTTGGCACGTCCCGCGGTGCGTGCCCGTGGCACGTCCCCTGGCACGTCGCTTGGCGTGTCCTTTGGGATGTTCCGCGGCGCGTCCTCCTGGCATGTCCCCCTGTCGATTAGTTCTGGGGCAGCTACTATGTGTTCAGGCAGCTCGAGCTTAAGATCCAGATCAGTTCGGTCAGGACTCGGATGCAAAGAGGACTCGATCCACAACGCTATCTAGAGCACAATCGCGGCATGGCACATCGCAGTTCAGCACGGCGCAGCACAGCACAGATTTCGGCATGGTACATCAAGATCGATACACTCAGCATTGCAACTTGGCACGTTTCCTGGGGCGTCCCTTGGCGAGTCCCCCTGGCACGTCGCGTGGCGCGCCCCCTGGCACGTCCCGCGGCACGTCCATTGGCACGTTCCGTAGCGCGTCCGCTTGGCACGTCACGCGGTGCGTGCCCATGGCACGTCCCCTGGCACGTCGCTTGGCGCGTCCCTTGGGACGTTCCGCGGCGCGTCCTCCTGGCATGTCCCCTCTGTCGATTGGTTCTGGGGCAGCTACCATCTGCTCAGTCAGCTCGAGCTTAAGATCCAGATCAATGCGGTCAGGACTCGGATGTTGAGGAAGACTCGATCCACGACGCTATGTAGAGCACAATCGCGGTATGGAACATCGCAGTTCAGCACGGTGCAGCACAGCACAGCCCCTGGCACAGTACATTAAGATCGATACATTCTGCATTGCATTTGCCCGTCGCCCAATCAAGTGTCTTTGAACAGTTGCCATGCCTTACATTCCTATATTCCTTTCCGGGTTCGTGGGTCGATCATGTTCCTTATAGATCAATCCTCCCTGTCGTGTCCCTGGACATGTCGGTCAGGAGGGGCGGTCGTTTGGTTAGTGTTTTGATTTGGGGCTTCGGCGGAGATGGACACCTGGGAAAGTCGAAACGGTCTTGTGACGTACCTAACCCATTCGCATCAAATGACAAGAGGAGTTGGCGCAAACTTGCCAGGACAAAGACAGTGCAGGCGCCGTTGTATGTTGTGTACGCTACGTGGGATACGCGCACGTGGCATGATTCACAGGACGGCAATAGAAGGACGAGGAGCGAGGGCCCAAACTCAACGAGGACATGGGGGTGAGAACGGAGAACATGAGAAGGACGCGAGGGGGGCCGAACAGTCAGCGCGCCAGCAGCCGAGAGAAGGTGACAGGAGGAGGTGGACGGCGACGAAAGCGACGGGAGGAGGCAGGACTGAGGTTCTTTTTCGTCGATGTTATGCTGAAGATGCAGCGCTTCCTGCGCCATGTCGCCGCGGCGCTCGAACGTCTCAAGCCTGCTCATATCCAGTGCAAAAAGCGAGCGAGGCCTACCTCGCCCGCTAGCTTCTTTGCCTCCTTTCCTGCATGCTTCACTGCGGGAGCTAAACGCTGGAAGGCCCGCCGCCAGGTCTGCGGGCGACCCGCGGGCAAAGAAATCAAGGCGTGGTCGCGTATCGCGTATCATCAGGAGGTTGTCGAGGCTGGGAAGAGGGGTTCAGGTTGGTGCTCCGTGTGAGACGTTACTTTGCTGCACCCCCCAGAGGCCTTCCGAAATTGGCGACCGTTTCGCAAATCGCAGCTCCCCAGGGATGTTGAGATCCTTGGTGGTCCGCGTAAGACATCATCCCGCTGCACCCACCAGCAGTCTTCGAATGTGGCGACAGTTTTGCAAATCGAAGCCCCCAGGGATGGCGAGGACTCATTGGAGTCTGGGTAAGACGTTGTTCCGCTGGACCCCAGCAGCCCTCGAAAGTGGCGGCGATTGCGCAGATCGCAGCCCCCCAGGGCGCGCCGCCAGTTTTGCGGCCGGCCCGCGGGTAACGAAGTCCAGGCCGGGGCTGCGTATCATCAGGGGGTTGCCCAGGCCGGGAGAAGAAAAAATCCAGGATGGTGGTCCGCGTAAAACGTCGTTGCGTAGCACCCCGCAACAACCCTCGAAATTGGCGACCGTTTCGCAAACCGCACCCCCCCAAGAATGGCGAACTCTCCTGGTGGTCGGCGTAAGGCGTCATTCCGCTGGACCCCCCAGCAGCCTTCGAATGTGGCGACGGTTTTGCAAATCGAACCCTCCCAGGGGTGGCGAGGACTCGTTTGAATCTGGGTAAGACGTCGCTCCGCGGGACCCCCCCGCAGCCATCGAAAGTGGCGACCGTCCCGCGAATCGCAGCCTTCCCAGGGATGGCGAGGTCTCTTGGTGGTTTGCGTAAGGCGTCACTCCGTTGGGTCCCCCAGCAGCCCCCGACAGTGGCAACAGCTTCGCAAATCGCAGCCCCAGGGATGGCGAGGACTCATTTGAATCTGGGTACGGCGTCACCCCGATGGATCCTCCAACAACGATCGAAGCTGACAGCACTTCCGCATATCGCAGCCCCCCAGGGATGGCGAGGTTAAAATTGAGTCGGGGTAAGACGTCGTTCCGCTGCACCCCCCAGCGCCGTCGAATGTGGCGACAGTTTCTCGTACTGCAGCCCCCCAGGGATGGCGAGGTCTCGTTTGAGTTTGAGTATATCGCCAGTTCGCTGCACCCCCCAGCAGCCCTCGAAAGTGGCGACTGTTTTGCAAAACGAAGCCCCCCAGGGATGGGGAGGTTTCAAATGAGTCAGGGTAAGACGTCGTTCCGCGGGACCCCCCAGCAGCGTCGAAGCTGGCGACAGTTGGGGGGTTGGGAAACATTGAAAACCGACGCCGCGGATTGAAGCATTCGACATTGAATAATTGAAAAATTCAAAATCTATAATTGGGGCTCCCAACGTGCAACATTGTAACATTTCACTATTTTGTAAATATTTACATTCGACGAAATGTGAAAACTGTCATGCTTCATATTTTCCAACATGGGCGAGTGCAGAAATCAAAAATTTTGGGGATGACGGATGGGAGACAGAAGTGGGCAAACAGACGTGATCAGCATCTAAAACGATTTGCGAAAATGTCTCGACCGAAGCGTTCGTGCCAACACCCCGCAAGGGAGCCGGGATTATGCGCTACATTTACGTTTTCGCGGCCAGATAGTGGGGATGTCCCGAGCGAGGCGCTCGTGTTGTGCCCGTCTGGTCTGGTCCGCCCGTTTGGTCTGGTCCTCCCGTTTGGTGTGGTCTTCCCCTTTGGTCTGGTCCTCCCGTCTTGCCTGGTCCTCCTGTCTGGTCCGGTCGTCCTGTCTTGTCTGGTCCTCCCGTCTGGTCCTGTCCTCCCGTTTGGTGTCCCCCTCGAGTTTTGTGTGGTCTTCAAAGCGAGTCAGGCCGGGATCAATACCCCCCTTACTCAGGAAATTTATTTTTCTCCCTTTCCTCTCCCTTCAACTCTTTCCATTCCCCTCGCATCCTTCTGGTGGCGTGGCGACTGGGCCTGGCGAGTCAAGCTTAGTAACCCGCCGGGATCATTTTCCCGGCCGTACGGATGCTTACGGCCAGAAAGAAAAATCGTGCTCCGCAACCTCCTCCTCCTCCTCCTCCTCCTCCTCCTCCTCCTCTTGTTCGTCGTCGTCCCTCCTTTCCGTTCTCCTCCTGCGTTTCGTCCGTCCTCCGCCTCCTCGCCAACTTCACCCCCCTCTTCCTCATCCTCGTCCTCGTTCTCCTCCACCTTCTCCATGCCTCTCCTCGTCTGCGCCCCCCTCCTCCCCACCCGCCCCCACCCCTTTTCCTCTCCCCCCAGCTCCCCCCATTCTCCTCGAGTTCTCCCCCAACCCCCTCTTCGTCGCCCTCAGGGGCGGCCGCTCTCTACTCGCCGCCAGAGCCAGCCTTGGAGAGTGTGAGTGAGAGTTTTGTCTTCGGGACGTCGTCGAAGCACTCGCTTACATCCTCTGGAGGGACG